GGGCTGGCTGGCATGTGGTGCTGGGGGATTGAACCGCGGTCCCTGATGCTTTTGCTAATCTTGTTCTAAGTAGGTGCTTTAGACCACTGAGCCATCTCTCCAGCCCTCTCTCTCTTTTTTGAGACAGAGTTTTTACTATGCAGTTCAGGCTGGCCTTAAACTCATTTTGTAGCCTAGGCTGACCTTGAACTTGCAGTGGTCTCCTGCCTCAGCTTCCCTAGTGCAGGATTACAGGCCTGTACCACTGTGCCTGGGCTCTGTTTTTTGTTTTGTTTTGTTTTGTTTGACACAGGGTCTTGTAATGTAGTTCAGGCTGGCCTTGAACTTCTAGTGATCCTTCTGCCTCAGCCTCCCAAAGGCTAGGGTTACAGATGTATGCCAGCATACCTGGCTATGCTTTTAAAATACTATGAGGAGTAAAAGTGTGAATATATATTTTTTAAATTTTATTTATTTATTTGTGTGTGTGTGTGTGTGTGTGTGTGTGGCCAGCTCAGCCCACCAGGGGGCGGGCTGGCTGACATGTGGTGCTGGGGAATTGAACCGTGGTCCCTGAGCTTTGCTAAAGCTTGTTCTAAGTAGGTGCTTTAGACCACTGAGCCATCTCACCAGCCCCAAAGTGTGAATATTTGAATACTCTATATGGTTGTGACATTGTAAAATATGTATTTGTTCCTTGTTATGTTTTCTGGCATAGCCATATGATATTTGTATGCTAATAAGTAGTTGACTGTTGGCTGGCCCTCCTGGGTAGCTTCAGGATGAGGGCTAGTCAGTAGAATAAGATAGATGAGGGCTGGCAAGATAGCTCAGTGGTCTAAGGCATCTACTTAGGCAAGTGCGCAGGTACCAGGGTGTGATCCCTGTCACCACATGCCATGCCAGCCCTTCCCCCGGGGTGGGCTAAGCTGGCCACAAAAACAAAAACAAAAACAAAAACAAAAAAAAGGGAAAGAAAGAAAAAATAAGACAGAAAAAGAAAGAAAGAAAGAGGGCTGGGGAGGTAGCTCAGTAGAATAAGTGCTTGCCTGGTAAGCTCAAGAGTCTGAGTTCAATCCCCAGTTCTGCCAGAAAAAAAACAGAAAGAAAGAAATTGAGGGTCACCTTTAGGGGAGGGTAGTGGCCAAAGGTTAAGTTGAGTAGTTATTTAATCAGTCATCTAAGTATATAGTTAGTTGGTCAGAAGCCCCCTGAAAACCCCTAAGGACAAAGTTGGGAGAGCTTCTGGAAAGCTGGAGGTTCTTGGAGGATGGCATAGGCAGGGGTGCATGGAAGCTGTATACCATGTCCCACATGCTTTGCCTGTGTATCTTTTATTTTATTTTATTTATTTATGTGGGGGGGGGCAGCTCAGCCCACCAGGGGGCAGGGCTGGCTGGCATGTGGTGCTGGGGGATTGAACCGTGGTCCCTGTGCTTTGCTACGCTTGTTCTAAGTAGGTGCTTTAGACCACTGAGCCATCTCACCAGCCCCTTGCCTGTGTATCTTTATCTGTATCCTTTACAATAAACCAGTATATTTAGAGTGTTTCCCTGAGTTCTGCGAGCTACTCTAGAAAATTAGTAGAATCCAAAGAGGGAGGTGGTCATGGGAAGTTGTTGGTTTTTGCCCTACTAGAGATTAAATCCAGGGCTTTCACACTAAGTTACATCCTGATCCCCCCCCCACTTTGAGATAGGATCTCATTAAATTGCCCATACTGGGCTCAAATTTATTATTTTCTTGCCTTAGTTTTCCAAAGTGCTGGATTAGAGGGATATGCCACTTATGCCTAGCTAGGAACCCCGATTTATAGCTAGTTGATCAGAAGCACAGGTAAAACAACTGAGAGGAAGATCACAGTTGGTATTTGAGGTGGGACTGAAGCTCCAGTCTGTGGAATATGACGTTATCTCCAGTAGTGTCATAATTGAATTAGAAGATCCTGGCTTGGTGTCCTCTGCAGAACTGCATATATGATATGTGAGGGAAGTGCACCCTGACCGCCAGTCTGATGTGAGAAGCATACTTTTTTTTTAATTTTTATTTATTTATTTATTTGTGTGTGTGTGTGTGTGTGTGTGTGTGTGGCCAGCTCAGCCCACTAGGGGGCGGGGCTGGCTGGCATGTGGTGCTGGGGGATTGAACCGCGGTCCCTGTGCTCTGCTAAGCTTGTTCTAAGTAGGTTCTTTAGACCACTGAGCCATCTCACCAACCCCGAGAAGCATACTTTTGAGAATGAGTATATTATAGTATAAAGAACTGAGTTTTGGGCTGGTGAGGTAGCTCAGTGGTCTAAGCACTTGCTTAGACAGATACAAGGACCATGGTTTGATCCCTTGCACCACATGCAGCTCCAGCCCTGCCCCAGGGAGGGCTGAGCCAGCCACAAAAAAAAAAAGAAAGAAAAAAAGAACTGAGTTTGTTAACTTGTATAGATAGCCTCAGAATGAGTTTGACAGTTTCAGCTGAATGGTGACTGAGTTACAGAAATTTAAGGTAGTAGAGATTTGATGGGTTATTCTTTAATTTTACAGTTATTCCTTAATTTTACATGGCCATGCAAGAGAAATACCCACATGAGAGGATATCTCATGCTACTTCACCAGGTGAGTAGTTGAAGTTGTTCTGGATTTTTTTATTTCTTTTTTTTTCAGAACCAGGGTGTCTGGATTAATTTCTCACTTTTCCTATATTTCATGTTCTTTAAGAGAAATACTGAATATGTAGGCATTCTTGAGAGTTTGTTTTTTCTTTTCATATATGTATTTGGTACAAGGTCTCACTACACAGCTCAGATTCATAGTGATCCTCCTGTTTTCAGCCTCCCTAGCTTGGGATTATAGGCATGCACTATCACCGTAGGCATTCATTGAAATGCTGGTACTCAAAGAATACAAATAACATGAGGCTACACTGAATATAAAAATGGGTCTCCCTGAGGGAGCATGTATTTATCTCTGGACCTGCATAGTCTCCAACAAGACCATGTCATTGTTGGGAGGGGAGGACACATAAAGAATTAGAACAGAATAACTTTGGAACATAGTTCCATTTGAAGTTAGAAAAAAAAAAAAAAACCAGCATAAGTTACTGTGTTCTGTGTTGTCTTTATATTCCTCTGGGCTGTTCAGTCATCTGCAAGCCCACAAAAGTTGGAATTCTTAGATGCCAGCAGTCTCTTGTGCTAGCACAGGCAACTTGGAGATTTATCTCTAGGATAGATTAAGAGGATTTTGTGGACAGGGCCCAAGAGATGGAAAGAAGAGAGAAGGAGAAATAAAGAGTTAAGATGTGTTGTAAAGATATGCCAACTCCCTATGGTGAATGTAATTATTATGTACTGCAAACATGTAGTAGAAAATATTTTAAAAGATGTGTGTTTTTATACACTGGAGTATTACTCAGCTATAAAGAAAAATAAACTCGAAGCTTTCATATATAAGTAGATGCAACTTGAAGATATACTCATAAGTGAAATAAACCATACCCACATGTGTAAATATCATATTGTCTTCCTAGTTTAAGAACGCAAAAGAAGAAATTTAAAAAAAAATTGAAAAATATAATACAGTTAAATGGAAAGCGAGAACTTAAGGATTAAACAACAAAGAGAGAGAATGGAGAAAAGTTAAGAAATATGGCAGAGGCAAAACCATACATTTATATAAACAAGATGGTTAAGGCACTGTTCCTAAGAATCCCCATCAGGTTTTTGAAAATAGCAGTTAATGGGTAGGATTCTCATCCTTACTAACTATATGCTGATATCTGTAAACTGAGCAACTACACAGAGGATAGAAATGTGTAATACTAAAACCATGCTTGAAATACCTGTCATTTTGGTCTTCTAAATGCATACTTCTTCTAATGTCATATCAATTATTGCTATACGCTCTTTAAAGTAAATATGTGAAAACAAAGGTAATAAAAGAAAACAAGAGACAAGAAAAAAAAGATTTTGAGAGCTCAGCAGATATACTAAATAAATATACAAGGTTAATATATATATGTAAACATTAGGGAAGACTACCACTGAACTGCATCTCAGCCCCCAAAATGTATTTTTATTTTAACAAGTATTTCTTTTTTTTTAATTTTTAATTTTTAATTTTTAATTTTATTTATTTGTGTGTGTGTGTGTGTGTGTGAGTGACCAGCTCAGCCCACCAGGGGGTGGGGCCGGCTGGCATGTGGTGCTGGGGGATTGAACCGCGCGGTCCCTGTGCTTTGCCAAGCTTGTTCTAAGTAGGTGCTTTAGACCACTGAGCCATCTCACCAGCCCCAATATTCTTTAGAACTGGTATAAAGGAGCCGGGGAGATGGCTCAGTGGAATAAGTGCTTCCCTGGCAAGCGCAAGGGTCTGAGTTAAATCCCCGGTTCCACAAAAAAAAAAAAAAAAAAAGAATTGGTATATAAGGCTAGTTGTGGTGGTGCTCACCTATAATCCCAGTACTCCAGAGGCTGAGGTTGAGGATCACTGTGAGTTTAAGGCCAGGGTGGACTACGTAGTTCAAAGTTAGCCTGCACTACTTAGCAAGATTCTTTCTCGAAGGAAAAAAAATAACGTGAGAAGGAAAGAATGAGGTCAGGCATGGTAGTTCATGCCTCTAATCCCAGCACTTGGGAGGCTGAGGCAGGAGGATTGTTGCAAGTTCGAGACCAGCCTGGGCTACAAAATGAGCTCAAGGCCAGCCTGAACTGTAGAGTGAGACTTTATCTCAAAAGGGAGGGGAGAAAAAAAGGAAAGAGTGAGGGGATGAGAAAAACCTGGATTCAAGTATAACTCTCTTCTCTGTAAACAGGTATAATTCTTACCAGTAAGTATTAGGTAGTTGAGATCATGTTTGTAAAACCATTCTAGGGTTCATTAAATTAGCTGCTATTAAATGATTGATTGTTGTCCCAGTACTTCTGAATTCTTGGTAAGTATTATTTCTGTCTTTGATTAGTCTCACATCTCATGCTATTTTCACTTAATATCAGCTATCTTAGGGTAACTGCAATAAGCATAAAAGAGAGAAAAAAGGATGGGATGGTGTTTTTTCATAGGTTTAACTGATTTTTAAAAAATGATCTCACCTAGTTCACACAAAAGGTGGAAAATGCCTCTTGTTTCAGGTTCCAGTGTGATTCAAAAAGGAAGTTCCTTGGGGACTGAATGGCAGACCCCAGTTCTCACAGAGGCTTTTCGGAACCGCTTCAGCCGCTGTTCAAGTGTAGCTGACAGTGGGGACACGGCCATTGGCACATCATGTTCAGACATTGCAGAAGGTAAGGTTTGTTTTTGATATAGGATCTCACTATGTAGTTCAGGCTGGAATGTACTAGGTAGCTTGGGCTGGTCTTGAACTTGGCAGTAATCCACCTGCCTGTAATGCACCACTGCGTCTGGCTGTTTGAATTTTCTTAGCCTATTCTTCACACATCTAGACTGTGGTTCTTTTTGCTATGCTAGGATCAAACCTAGGGCCTCAGGTATGATGGCAAGCACTGTACCACTGAGTTACATCCCTAGCCTCTGGAATAACTTTTTTTTAAAGCAGTACTTGGGATTGAACTCAAAGCCTTTGCAATAAGGTACATCCCTAACCCTTTTTGTTTTTTTCTTTGAGATAGGGTCTTGCTAAATTGCTGTATTTTCTAGATTGGGCTTGAATTTGTAGTCTTTTGGTTTCAACCTCCTATAGAGTACAGGGATTATAGGCATATGCCCCCATGGCTAGCTGATCTTCCTTTTTGAATTCTTGTATCTTTATTATCTCTTCCATTTCTTTCCCCACAGTTGGCCCTTGGGAATAAACCCAAGGCCTTCATATAGAGCTATATCCCCAGCCCTTTGAAAAAAATTTTATAATTTGAGAAAGGGTCTCTGACTAAGTCACTAAATTGCCCAGACTGGGTTATACTATGCCTTGCCTCAGCTTCCCAGAATATATATATGTATGTATTTTTTACTTAAATTAAGTACAAATTGCCAGACAGTACTTTACAAGGATTTCCTTTTTTTTTTTTCTCCTTTCCCTATTTAGATGATTTGCTTCTAGAGGGCAGAAGAATTAATGATAGTAATTAACCTCTGTTAGATGCCTTGTGATTTAGATACTATAATTTTTTGCATTTGTTCATTAATACTCTTAAGAACTCTATGTCCTAGCACTTGGGAGGCTGAAGTAGGAGGATCACTGTGAATTTGAGCCCAGCCTGGGCTACAGAATGAATTGAAGGCCAGTCTGAGCTGCGTTGTGAAACCCTATCTCAAAACAAACAAAACCCTTTATGAACTATTTTACTTTTTCGATTTTTTAATTTTTGCAAAACTGGGGATTGAACTCAGGCCTTGCATTTGCCAGGAAAGCACTTATTCCACTGAGCTATCTCCCTGGCCCCTCTTTCTTGATTTTGTAGATGAAAAACTGAATTCAAAGTGACTGAATTAATTGATTACGATCACAAAGTGTTTTGATACTTTAACACGTTAGATACATATCTGAAGAGAGGCAAAGGGAACATAAAAAGAATTATGTGTTATATACATGTACCACTTCCTCACAATCATTGTGATCATTGTGTACTACAAACATATATTAATAAAAATTAAAAATAAATTAGGGGCTGGGGAGATGGCTCAGTTGAATAAGTGCTTACCTGGCAAGCACAAGGGCCTGAGTTCAATCCCTGGTTCTGCCAAAAATAAAAAAATAAATAAATAAATAAATATCAATTTTAGTTACCAGGATGACTGTGATCAAAAGGATAATAACAACTGAGAATGAAGAGAAATTGGAACCCTTATATATTGCTGATGGGAATATGAAATGTTGGAGTTGTTTTGGTAGCTTGGTAGCCCCTCAAAATGTTAAACGTGAAGATTTTTAATGGACCAATAATTATTTTTGTACATATATACCCCAGAAAAATGAAGATATAAATCCACGCAAAAACTTAAAACAGATGCTTATAGCAACTTTACTCGTAACAGTCAGATGGTTGAAAGAACCTACATGTTCACAACCGATTAACAGTTCAGTGGTATATCCCTAAAGTACAATAGAACATTATTTGGTAATAGAAAAAA